CCATTCAAATACCAAAAATATGACTTTCCAACAAACCAGTCTCCATCACTTGTCAGTCTTAGCAATAACAATGTTTATCCCTTCCTCTCATCACCATTGGTATTTCTCTCTGGTGTCTACCTAAACATACGGATATCATCCTTGAACCGCCCCTGAAAACAGAAGTATCAGAGATTCTGGGCTTTCTAGAACAAACCTGATTTCAACTAAAACAATCTTAATTTCAAGCTAGAAAAGAAAACCTGGTTTCAAACCTGTTTCTCAGAAGACACACCTACATTGTGCCCTGATTCCACTTGAACGCTTTCTTTGTGTGCCTTCAGGAAAGCTCTCCGACCCACTGGATAAGCAAGGCCTCTCCCGGCTGAAGGGCTTTATGGTGTTTCACCAGCTATGCTTCTCAGGAAGGGATAACCAGGTCAGCTACCCCCTCTCCCCAAACCCAGGGCTCCTAGGCCTCTCCTGGGGAAGAGGCATAGAGGGTCTGGAATATAAATAAGCCAACTTCCAGTCAGCAGCAGGAAGGCTACAGGAGCCACCAAGTCTTAAGGGAGTTGTTTCCTCCAAATTGTGGTCCCCTAATTGAATGTTGGCTCTCTTTATCGGGAGGAGAGGAGATTGCCCAGAGACCTTGGTTAGCACAAGAAGGTTTGCCTAAACCTCTTTCTGGGGCACAAGCAGCAGCCCTGAGAACTATTAGCAGAGGCCTTAATTCTAATAAGAAAATCTTAAAAGGCCCTGAGTGAGGGAAAAAGTGTCACTGAAAAATGTTGAAATGACAAATAGCAATATTCCCGCTGACAAAAGATGAAGATGAAACAAATGTTAGAACAGAAAACATGATTTTATTTGGCGATGCTCTCCCTGGCAACTGTCATCAAAGTCTTGAACTGAAATGAAAAAGGTTATCGATATAACAAGCACACGAGAGCATACTTAGATTTCTAACAACAAAAGTCATCTTTGAAATAACAAAAGCTTGTAACGAAATGAAAACTCACAAGGTAGAAAGTAAAGCGTGTGGCCTCAAATAGCCTTGTGCTGCACATTTGCTAGAGAACGTTAGAGCTGGAAGCCACTTAGGGATCATCTGGACAAATCCATTAGTGTTACAAAGGAGGAGATGCTGAACCCAAAGGACTTTAAGTTACTTTTTCAAGGTCATATAACTAGTTAGTGACTTCTGAATTGTTAGCAACTACCTTCACTGCTTCCCAGAGCCAATTTCTGAAGTCTTTAACCTGCAAATGTACTTTTGCCTAGCTACTGAAGTTCAAGGTCACTAGATGCTGGGGCCTCATATTTGTCTTGTTGTCTTTGATCCATTCTGTGTTCTGCTCACATAGACTTGCTGGAAGGCACATCACTACCATAGACTACCACCCCCTCAGTTGCAGATTCAGCCTTCCATTATCTGACATGATAGAGACAAAGACTGTAAATCCCAGAATAATCTTGGGCAAAGAGGATAGAGAAGGCGTGGTGCATCCTAGAAACTGAAGCCCACAGAATAAGTATTGTGAATCAAAGGAAAGATAGAAAACCCAAAAAGTTTAAAAAAAATGAAAAATAAAAAACTTTAAACACTGCTCAGTATGAGAGGTCCTGAGGATCAGTCAATAGGTGAGACATTTGGACAATTTACCTTTTAGAAACTTGTCAAGGATTTGGAGCTCTGTAGCTTAATTTGCCTTTCAGATAAACAGATTATACATTTTAAAAAATGTGAGAAAAAAAACATTTCTTAAAAAGCATGGGGCATATAGAGCAAAACAACTTCAGATTAAAGGGAAAGAAGCAGCATGAAAAATACTCAGAGAAACACAATTGGAGAAAGATCTTCTGCAGAATCTAGTGTACTGGGTTATGCAGCAAAAATCAAGATGTGTTATTTATGAAATGGGATCACACCATCAAGGAGAGAAGAGTCTAGCATGGCAAGACTGAGATAATGGCATAAGGAAGGATGTTTCAAGGACACTCAATGTACACTCTCTCTTCCCAGGTCTCCTGCTTTCCCAGCCTCTCCCATGGCTTCTCCTCCAGCTGAAACAGTCTTCTGAGCTCCAGACCCAAATATGAAGCTGTCTTCATGAAATAAAATGGTGGAATCTCAATGTTAACAAGTTCAAGGTGGGACTCTTGGTCCCCATCCCACCTAAAAACTCTTACTCCTGATCCCCTTCAGTTATCCCTTATTGCAGGAAACACATCTCCTTCCATTCCTTTGCTCATCCAAACCCTTCAATAACTTTACTTCTCTGCACCACATGTATGTTGACACTTTCTGTCCAACACTTAGACCTCTGATTTCTTCTTTAAAAGATGACTCCACCGCATTCCCTTTCCTACATATATTTCTCTACCAATCCAGCGTGAACAGGCCTCATCTCTTGTCAAGGTTATTAAGTAATCTTCCAATTGGGCTTCTTGTTCCTATTTTTGATCCCTTTATTTTATTCCCCATATAGTAGTCCAAATAATCTTTAGAAATTACAAATTTAAATGTATTTTTCCTCAATGTAAAACCCTTTATTCATTGGCTTACTACAGAAGGACAAATATTGACACTCAGCAGAGTTTATCTGGAAGAAACAATTTAGGTAAGAACATGAAAAACCTTAATTAATTTATTTAGCTAATTCTAGAAGTTATTACACATGCTTACACACACATAGACAAACACACACACTGATATGAAAAAAGGAATAATCAAAAGGCAAAAAAAATCCACATTATTGCCTCCCAAATCAATAGAGGAATTAGAAGAAAAAGCTCAAGAAATACTTTAAAATTTAAGAAGGGAAAATAGAAAAAAGTTGAGTTGTAGGGTCCAACACTCAATGCACATGCATTCTAGACAGTAAGATAGTAAGAGAAGAAATAACCCAATAAACTATACCCCATTTCATCAATTCTAAAATGACCTCAGCTCTGAAATGCATTATTATTTCATGTACCACTAAGGAAATGAAAGCTCTGCCAATTGAATTATGATATGATACTTTCACTTAAATTTTTATTCTATATATATGTAGAGTTCTTTTATGTACTTAGATATATATTTTAATATGCCTTATTCTTGTTCATAAATAAAATTAAATATTTGCAATATATAATTCAAAATAACCTTAGAACATATTTAGAGTCTGAGTCTTTTTCATCATCATGGGGCATAAACTATGGATGTTCATGTTTTCCATCACAACACTGTGTATTGATTGTGCCATCAAAAGCTTTGCTATGTGGATATCACCAAACACCATCAAACAGGAGCAAACACAGCACTATTGTCTCTGGGATTTTCTTCCACACGGGTAATACCCTTTCTGCAGATTCTGCTGTTGGTATGTGATCGGTCATCCTTTAGCACAACTTTTGTTGCTTGTCTGTTCTTAGCTCCTATAAATCATGGCCACTGTTTTGCAAGAAAATAGAAAAATGCACTGATTCCTCCAAATATAAAGTGTTTGATTCTCTAATATCAAATTCCACATCAATTTCACTTCAATAATTTTTGACATTCACAATAATTTTCTCAATTTCAAATAATAATATAGTCTTAAAAATAATGACAACTATACTCAACACATATATCACCAATAACTTAAAGTGGGGAAAAAATTATAGACATCTATGACTAAATGCAAGCATGTATGGGCAATAAAAGTTACATCAAGATATATCTTAATTTCAAAGGTATAAAGGTGTACAAAAATGGGTCTTAGTGTAAAATACAGTGTAATATTGAACTTTTCATCCAACTTTTATGATTTATTTTTTCTATGTTCATCTGTCCAGTATTGCAAATTTCACCTTTCCTATGAATCATGCCCTTTTCTATATCAAATAACAGCATTTCTTCATTTTTATTAATTTCCTTAAAGTCTACTTGTTCTGATATTATTAATAGCTTGACTACTGCTGTCCTTTTAAATTTGCCTAATACATCTTTACCTACCAGTTCACGTACATATTTTGTGTCACTTTGTTCGAGAAATGCTAATTGAAATCACATTTGGCAAAATACTGTTTTTCATCTCCAATCTAAAAGGTTTTTCTGTCTTTTAACAGGAAAGTTACATTTAGTTTGATTATTAAATTTGCAATATTTGATTTTTTTATCTTAGCTTATTGTAGTTCTTACCACATCATATCATACCATGATTTATCCATTCTTTTATTAAATTTCTTTTCATTGTTAAATGCATCATACATATAATGCAATGAATTTACATATATATATTTAAAAGTTAATAGTAGTTTGAATAAATATCTAATATCCACTACCCATTTTAAAAAACAGAGAATCATGAATAATTTTAAAGCTCCCTGCTGACCTAGCTAATCACATTCTTTCCTGGATTTAATATTATTCTATGTTTTGCATGAATTTCTTTGTTCTTTTCTCTGTAGGTTATATATATATATATATATATATATATATATATATATATATATATGATCAGTTTGCCTATTGTTTAACATTATGCAAATGCAACTGATACTTGTTATTTTTGGTTGGCATTGTGTTTTATGGTGGTAGCTATGGTTAATTTATTTTGCCTAATATATGGTATTCTGCACAAATTTGTACAAACTCCAGAAGACGCCAGTAACATTATGTTCTGTATGAAATGTGCAGACTATGTGAATGGTGCCCCAGAGCTGATCAAGGCAATGACCCTGATTCCTTCCACTGCATGAGTGCAACATGATTTATTCATTTTAATAATTCAGTGTTTTTCCTATATTTCTACATTTTTTTCCTTGCTATGATGAACAATGTTGCTATGAGCATTATTTTGCATGCTTCTTGAACATAAGAGTTTTTCCAGGGTTTCTAGCCAGGAGTGGAATATCTGGCCATAGTATATACAAATGCTTAACATTACTAAGTCATGCCGGATTCCTTTTCTAAGTGGTTTTACCAATTTCTGCTTCCTCCAGCCTTACATGAGAATTGCTCCTGATTTTTGCCAAGATTTTGTATTTTGGCAGTTTCTGTAGTGTAGTGGTTATCACATTCGCCTCACAAGATTTTGTATTTGCAGGCTTTTTTTTTTTTAATCTAGAGACTATAAAATATAACTTATATTTGTAAAGAGTAATTCAAATTTATTAATGATCTATGAGTATGTGGTAAAATACGCTTTTTTTTTTTTTTACTTTGACATATCAGCACAAACATCATTAAAAAGATGATTCCATTTCCTGCAAAGATGCCACAAAGCAGGAGTTTGACTCTCTTCCCAAAACTCAGCTTTAGAGAAATTAAAGGCAGGAGAGAAACAAGAGAACTAAGCAATCAAACAAATAGTAAAAACAAGATAAGAGTCACCAAGCAACAAGACAGCCAAGCCATCCATGGGAAGCAGAACGGTGCTTGGACTCTGGTGCTCAAGCAGTGCACAGCTGCCATTTGGAAAGGGAGACACCTGCTGCCTACAGAGAAGATAGGCTGGGCCAGATGTTTTAAGTCCCTGCCTTGCTGGCCTTGTTCCTTCAGAACAAAAATCTAAATCGATATACTATATCACCTGTATTAGCATTCTTGAGGTTATATTGGTACATTTTAAAAGCCTAGTAGGGGGGAGGAGTTTAAGTTAACAGGTGTGAATTTTGTACCCTTTGAGTATTACTGCTTCAACCCTGACCATGAGATTTTCCTGATGGACTGACAGAAAATGTGTAATCAAACTGGGTAGGACTGTCACTAAAAAAATAAAAAATAAAAATAAGGTCTGACTTTGAAGCCTTACTCACCCCATATCAGCAGATCATATCTGATAACCCAAGGCACTTAAACCCACAGTCCAAAAACTGGATACTTGAGAAAGGAAAACACTATAAAATAAATTGACTGAGGTGAGGTGAGCAAAATGGGGGTAGGGGCTGGGAAGGGGGAATGTGGGATATCTGTAATAGTGTCACCAATAAAAAAAAAGAAAGAAAGAAATTGACCAACCTAAATATTTGAAACAGAACTGTTGCAACCGACATTTTATTTTTTTATATTTTTATTGATTTTGAGAGAGAGGAAGGGAAAGGAAGAGAGAGAAACATTGATGAGAGAGAAACATCAACCGTTGCCTCCTGTGGGACCCTCTACTGGGGATCAAGCCCACAACTTGGACATGTGCCCTGACTGGGAATCGAACCAGTGACCTCTCAGTGTATGGATCAATGCTCAACCACTAAGTCACACCAGCCAGGCACAACAGATATTTTAAATAAGAAAATAAAAGAAGATAATAGTGATAAAAAAGTAAACAATTTAAAATATCTTATAAGAAAACACAATTATTAAAATAAAAAGAAAATAGATGAGACCCATAATAGTAAGATTTATAAGGAAGCCAACGACATCTAAGATCAAACTATAAAAATCGACAGCATTTCTCTATTTCAGAAATAAATAACTAAGACATACTACAAAGCCTTTCTAATTTAAAAAAAAAAAAAAGGCAGCTTGTTCAAGGACAAATAGATGGAGCTACATTAAGGGCGTAGAGAGAACAATATGTATGGGAGCAGAAAATACTATAAATATGTTACTGCAAATCAAAAGCAGATAGTTGTAAGGGTAGAAATTAGCTACAGAAGGGCATGATTAACTTGTGTTGAAATGTTTATAAACTTGTATTTGCATATATAGAACAGGGAAGGATATATATCATTGTTAACAGTAGTGATTGATGGGTAGTGGAACTGTGAGTGACTAATTTTCTTTGTATACTTTTTTAGTTTCCAAAGTATTGCCATAATACAAAAAAAAAAAAAAGTGTGTGTTTTCAATCTGAAAAAAAAATGATGTAGGGAGATCTGCTTTTCAGCAAAGGGGGTAATTGAGCTATGTCTGATTACATGTGATTAACTAGAGGGTCTTTGCTTCCAAGAAGTGCTTGGTGTGGGTTCCTTCCTGGTTGTGTGTATGTTTCAGAAGCAAGGGAAATGGAGAGGACTGGGCATGTTTCAGAGATTTGGCTCCAAACTTAGTCCTGAAGCTCCCTGCTGAGCCTCTGAACTCATGTCAGGTTTATGGCAAAAAAGATTTGAAGGAGTGATTTGCCTAAGGGACTGTGTGAGATGTGGGACATGCAAGGCTGTCTGTGTGATACTGCCCGGGGGACACTCGGTCCCCGCAGTTATGAGACAGGGGTGGCTAGTGTTCAATGTAGCATCCACCCCTGGCCTTGTGTGCAGGGGGCCTGGACACTGGCATCTCCAGCTGAGCCTGACAGTGGTGGTGGGCACCTCAATGATCTTTGAGATCGTCGCAGAATGGAAGGGCTTGTGGAGGGCTGATTTGTCGATCCTTGACATGTTCCTAAAGATGCCCACAATGGGCACAGACTTTGAGGACTGCTGGCCATCTTATGGCAGGTAGGTGAGGGCAGAGTCTTTGAGAGGGAAGAGCTCCCCAAACATTCCAGAACAAGCATACCCTTCTCCTTCCCAAACTCCACCCATATGAAATCTCAATTATTCTCAGCAGCCGTGGAATATTCAGTAAAGACATTCACAGACATCCTAGGTGCAAACACTTTATTTTGGCATTCATGCACCACATGCACCAATTTGGTCCTACAGAATCTGAATCAAGGCAAGGTTGGCAGAAGGGAAAGGAGCACCTGTAAGCAATGGCATCTCTTTATGGAGAAGAGAACCTGCCGCAGAACAAGATGCTGTTGGTTTTGTGGTGCCTGATGAAGAAAAGGAACGGGTGGTCTGCACAGAATCTTGGCTCTATTCTGCTGCACCGGGAATTCCTGATGACGGCAGTGGCTGCAGCCGCCTCTGTGCCTTCCTCATTGACCTCTACAAAGCACTTGTGTACAACCTTGGACACGGGCACATTCTTCTTAGTTGACATTCCAGAAAAGTCTGCCTTGGTTTCCTCAAAAGCATCAGTCATTCCTAAACTTCGAAGAAAAGACTCCAAGTCATAGCTCTCCTCCAGTTTTAACCGGGGAAGGAAAACTTGAACTTTAATCTCACTCATGTTTTCTGGATCTGTCCAAGCTCTGAACTTCTCATATGTAAGTGCCTTTTCCACCTGAAATAATGAAGAGTCAAATCCTAAAATCTAGATGACAATAGCCTGGTGTAAACCCCTTTATCCCATCCCCCATAACATGCAACTAGATGCTGAGTTCTGATCCAAGACATCTACAGAGATTGTCCCTACACCAAGATTTCCCCTCAAATTCTTATCTTTTCCCTGTTTTGTGGAACCAAGAGTAAAACAACTAGAAAACACCTAAGACAATGGGAGGTGTTTTTTTTAAATCCTCTATATCAAATTCATTTCAAATATTTTTAATATATTTTAATAATCAGGCAGACCCCACCCTTAACATCCTGTGCATTGGTGTGCTGGAGGAGCCGGCTTGTATATCTGGCGACAGTCAATTGTTAAACTCTTGGTAACTAAACTTAGCCAAGTGGAGTATTTGCATGAAATCAGCAAACATTATAAATGAGGGCTTCTTCCATCGCCCAGGGATCCAGACAGCCAGCACACTGCTGGTCCTGTATCATCCATCTTACAAATTTACCTTCCTCCTGAACTCTGTTCCTTTTCTGTCATGGGAAGAGGGCTCTCTGCTCCTAAGATACACTGCTCACCTGTACTCTTGTTACTCAAAATGTGATCCATGACCAATAATAGCACCTGTATCACCTGGAATCTTGTTAGAAATGCAAAAAAATCTCAGGCCATAGCCCCTAGTCAAAATCTTCATTGTAACGAGATCCCCGGGAGATTTGTATGCACACAAATGTTTGAGGAACTCTGCCCAGATCAATCCTGTCCTTTTCTAGTACTTCCATTCAACAGTTATTGGGCCCTCAACTAGCCCCTCTCTTCAGAATAAAGAATAATGAATAATTCTCCTAAATTCTTGGAACTCTCCTTAGCTTCAACATTTGTCCTTACCCGCAATTCCATTCCTAGATATATACTCAACAGAAATAAATATACGCCCCCACCAAAGACATGCAATAGTGTTCATCCAGTACTCTTTGTAATAACCCCTAATTAAAAACTCCTCAAATGCTATCTGATGGATGGCCTTAAAGAAAGGAGCTAAGGCTGGATCCACAGACTCATTTCCCAGGGCTTACCACTGCAAGTTCAATGTCTTCATCAGGCAGCAGAATGACCATGCTCAGCTCCTCCCCCACATAGGGCAGCTCCAGGACCTGGCTTTTCACCTCCTCCACACAGCCCATTTTAAATTTATCATGCTTAAACATCATCTGCACTGTCTTTTTTTCCTAATGAAAACATGAAATTAAAATCAGGTTATTGAAAAATGAGCACAGTTCACTAAAAATATATCTAATTCACAGAACCCCTAGGTACATATAAGAGAATGATTACTTCTGTGCATTTATGCTGATAGATACAAAAATCTTCATTATTACATATTAGTATTGAGTATAATATGCTCATGCCCCAGCAGATCAATTATAACCAGATAAGAGAATAAATTGTAAAATATGGACAGACATAAAACTCTCTCATTATTTTTGGAAGCAGTTTAGGTTTTCCTTTTTGAGAAAATGCATAAAGAAGCACTCCCAGAGACCTTATAATTAAAAATTATTTTTCCTAAGTTTAGAGGAGAATGAACTAATATCAGGTCTTTGGGCTGGAGGATCAGGTTAGAGAAGATGTATAGGCCAGAGGAAGTTAGACTTTTATTCTGAAAAGTTGCTCAATTATACAGTTGATTGTACAGCTTTGATTTTCTTGAAGGGAGAACCTTAACAAGATGTGTAGGGTCCACCATTTTTAAAGCTTGTATCAAATATACTCTAGATTTTTAAATCTTTGTGCAAAATGCTATTGTCAAGCTGATGGAGGTGAAATTCCAAGCTAACAGCTATTGACACCAGCCATTATCATACACAAAAAGGAATGGAGAGATGTATTTTTAATGTTAGACTTATACGTCTGGATACCTAATGTACAACATGATGACTATAGTTAATAAAACTGTATTGAATACTGGATAATTGCTAACAAGTAGATTTCAGGGCTCTCATTACACACACAAGAAGGTAAGTATGTGGAGAGATATGTTAGTTAGCTTTTCACTATGCATATTAAATCATAATCTTGAACACCTTGAATATATACGATTTTTAAAAGATCCCCCCAAAATTAAAAATAAATATTCAGCCTTAACATCTGTTAACAAGTTTTTCCTTGTGCTCAGAACTGCCTAGCCATGGATTCTAAGACAATA